GGAAATGGTGGTATAGGGTAGCTGCGCCGGGCGCGCCTACCCTGTAAGGAGCCGGAGCCTCTCGGGACGTCTAGGGTAGGTCGCGCCGGTCTTTGCCGTCGATGCAGACGGTCGTGGTGACTACCCTGGAAAGCTTCCTAGGCAGTCCCTTGCAGGGTAGCTTCTCTCGATCCGGGCAACACCGCCTACCGTGCGGAAAAAAGAATGAGGATGTCAGAAGGCGGCACAAGTCCGGAAACGGCTACCCTGTACTAGAACCTTTAAAAAAAAGAAAGATCTATGTTAACGAAAAACAGGTAATATGCTATAATTTAACCTATAGTTAACTTTATAACTGAATCTCTTAGAAGCTTAACGAAACGTTAGGCGTAATATAAGAAATTTAAGTAAAAAAAAGTTTACTTTTAATAAATTATAATAATAAAATTATTTTATTATTTATAAAACTTTTTTATATAATTAAGTTATTTATAAAAAATTTAATCCCACGCGTGTTAAAATTATAATATACGAAATATTATTAAACCGTTTTCGGTTCGATAAATTATTCGTTAATTAAAATGTAAAGCCGAAGTTTATTTATATTCGTTTATAACGTATAAAAAATATTATTACGTTTTAATATAAATTTTAATTTAAAAACGTTTAATTATTATTTAATAAATAATAACGTTACGATATTATTCGGTTAAATAACCGTAAAAATTAATTATTTAAATTAACGGTTTTTTTCGTATTAAATTAAATTATTATTACGATAAAATTATTAATAAAATAAAATTAATTTATTTTACGACGATTTAAACTTAATTTACGTTTTTTATTAATAAATAAATAATTTAACGTTTATTAAATTTTATTTCGATATAATAAAAAAAGTTAATTATTAAAATTTTAATATTTATTTTTATATATTATATTTACATATTATAATGTCTTTTTTTATCTTTTTAATTTTTAAAAAAAGTACGAATGTATAATTATATAAATTATAAATATCTTTTTTTCGATTAAATTTTTTAAATTTAATCTTAAAATTAAATAATAATTATTTAATTATTTGCGTTTTTATAATTTACGTATAATTTATTATTTTTAAAGTTTAAATTATTATATTTTTATTTAAATTTATACGAAAATATTAAAATTAATTAATAATATATTTATAAAAGTTTTTATTTTCGTTTATTTTTATTACGCGTAAAAGTTTAATATTTAATTTTTTAATTCGTATTTTAAAATAAATTATTAATAATTATTATGTTAATATTTTTATAAAACGCGACTTTCGATTTTTCGAAAAATATTATATTAAAATTATAATATTTTTTAAAAAATTACGTTTTTAAAGTTTTTATTTTTTTAAAAAACCGATATTAATTTAAATTAAATAAAATACACCGGTAAAAACACCGAATATTTCGTTTAAAAAAAGTTTAATCGTAAATAATATTTTTAATAATTTTATATATTTTTTTTATTTTTCGATTATTTTATTTATACGTTATTAATTTTTAACCGATATTTAATTTTTTAAAAAATTATTATTTATTATAACGAAAAAAAAAAGTTTTGAAAATTATTTTTCGTATAAAAATATTTTAATTAAACGTAAATACTTTTTTATATAAATTTAATGAAAAAATATTTTAATAAAATAATTTATTTTTTAAAATTATTTTTTTTATTATTATATTTTTAAAATAATTTTATTTTTATTAAATTATTTAAATAATTATTTTTTAGTATTAAATTAATTTTATAAATTGTTATTATTTTATCGAATAATATTAAAATTATTTTTTAAATTAAAATAAAATTAATAAATAATATAAAATTATTCTTTAAATTATAATTAATTTATTTAATTTATTTAATTTATTTAATTCGATTAATTCGGTTTATTTTAATAAATAATTAAAATTTAAGTTTTATATTTAATTTTTTTATTTTTATTTTAACGATATTTTTATTACCGTAACGGTAACTTTTAAATCGCGAAAATAATTTTAAACTTTATAAAAATATTACATGTATAAAATCGATAAAAATTAAAAAAAACCATTTTAAATCGCGGAATAATTTTTTTTAATTTTTATCGATTTTATACATGTAATGTTTTTATAAAGTTTAAAATTATTTTCGCGATCGAAAATAATTAAATTAATAATTTAATTTTAAAGTTTTTTTATAAATAAATTTATACGTACGTATTTAAATCGATTCGAAAATAAGTAAATTTATTTATAATTAAATTAATAATTTAATTTTAAAATTATTTAATAAATAAATTTATACGTACGTTTTTAAATAAATTTAAAAATAAATTCATTTATAAATAATTAAATTAATAAATTTATTTAAACGTATATTAAAAATATATTAATACGTACGTTAATTTAAAAGTAAATAAATCGATTTAAAAGTTAATAAATTAATTAAAACGTATATTAAAAATAAATATATTATACGTACGTATTTAAATTAATTTAAAAATAAATTAATTTATAATTAAATAAATCGATTTATAAATAAATAAATAAATAAATAAATAAATAAATAAAATAACGAAAACGATAAATATTTTATTAAATATTAAAAATAATGAAAATATCGTTAAAATAAAAGTAAAAAAATTAAATATAAAGTTTTAAATAAATCGAATAAATCGAATTAATTAATTTAATTTAATTAATCGTATACGTATTTATTAAAATTAAATACATTAAATAAATCGTTAAAAGAATTAAAATTAATGATAAAATTATATTTTTAAATGATAAAATAAAATAATAATAAAAATTAATATTATAAAACTTAAATTCGAAAATATATATAAATAACGAAGTAAACGTAATTTTATAAATAAAATTACGTATAAATTATTTACGTTACGTAATTTATTTATAATTAATATTTTAATATTAATAAACTTTTTTTTTTATATTCTATTATAACGTATTTATTTTTAATATTAATTTTTTTTATTTTTAATTTTTTTATTTTTTTATTTTTTAATTTAATTATTTAATTTAAATTTTTATTTTAATTTATATTTTATAATTTTAATTAATTTTATTAATAAACTTTTTTATTTAATTAATTATTAATTATATCGTATTTTACGATTAAAATAAAAAGTTAATTTTATACGTAAATTTATTAATTTATATAAAAATTTAATAATTTATACGAAAAAAAGTTTAATAAATTATATATATATATAATTTTCGAATCGTATATAATATTTGCGAATTTTTAAATTATATATAAATAAAGTTTTATCGAATTTATTTAATTATTAAAATTTTATAAGTTCGTTTTTTTTTTACACGTAATAAACGTAATTAAATATATTTACATTTTTATTAATAATAAATTAATTAAAATAAATCGTAATTATTTTATTATAATGAAATTTAATTAATATATCGCGAATTATATAATTTTATTATTTTATTATATTATAAAAAACTTCGATTTATATATCGCGAATTAATATAATTTCGTAATTTATTATTTATTTTAATTAAAAAATTTTTAATTATTTTTAATTTAAATTAAAAAACGATATATTTTTAATAAAAATCGATAAAATCGTATAATTTTAAAAATAATATATTTTTAACGAAAATCGTTAAAATCGTATAAATTTAAAATCGTTATAATTTTAATAAAATTAATTAAAATCGTATAAATTTATTTTTTTTATTATTAATATTAAAGTTTTTTTTTATTATTTATATTTTAATTAACGTAATTTAATTAATTATTAATTAATATTAAAAAAATTAAAATTAATAATAAAATTACGTTTTAAAACGATAAAATAAAATAATAATAAAAATTAATATTAAAAAATTTAAGTTCGGAAATATATATAAATAATAAAATAAACGTAACTTTATAAATAAAATTATTTATAAATTATTTACGTTACGTAATTTATTTATAATTAATAATTTAATATAAATTAAATACGTACGTATTTATTAAAATAAATAAATTAAATTAATTAAATTAATTAAATTAATTATAATTTAAAAAATAATTTTAATATTAATAATATTATTAAATAATATAATAATAATTTATTATAATAATTATTAAAATAATTTAATAAAAATAAAATTATTTAAAAAATAATTTAAAATAATTATAATTTAAAAAATATTTCTTTTTTATTTATTAATTTAATTTTAATTTAAAAATAATTTTAATATTATTCGATAAAATAATTACGATTTATTATTATATTTAAATAAATTTTTTTTTTTAATAATTTAATAAAAATAAAATTATTTTAAAAATATTATATAATGGAAAAATAATTTTAAAAAATAAATTATTTAATTAATATATTTTTTTATTAAATTTATATAAAAAATATTTTATTTATAATAATATTTTTATTCGAAAAATAATTTTTAAAATTTTTTTTTTTTCGTTACGATATTTTAAAAAATATATTTAATTAAAAACGCGGATAAATTTAAAATTTTATTAAAATTTAATAACGCGTTAAAAAATTAAATAAAATAAATAAATTAAATAAATTAAAATTATTTATTTATTTTTTATTAATTATTTACGTAATATTCGCGTATTTTTTAATATAATTTTATAAATAATAAATAAAATTTAAACGTAATAATATTTTTTAAATAATTAAAATAATAAAATTCGAAAATTAACCCGATTAAAAACCCCGGAAATCCCGATAAATGTTTTATTTTCTTCACGTTTCGTTACGATATAATAACCCTCGGAACTCGGGCATAACTTTCGGAGCTCGGGCGCAATTCAAGTTACACACGTTAAGTGCTTCCCCGTTTGCACACTTATCGGATAGAAGCTTTTAGTATCGGGACACACCCGAGATCTCCTCTTCCGATCTCTGATCCGATCCCCGATCCGTACCTGCATTAAGGCCAACTCTTTTCAGAGCCTAACATTCTGCCACTTAATATTGTAACATTTCCTTTTTTCACCATCGTTTTAAATATCCCTTAAGCATACATTATTATTATCATCATTGCCATCTTAATTTTTTCTTCTTATATCGTCGAATCTATTATTATTAGTATACTATGGATAGTTCGTCGAAAGATACTTTTAAGCATATCCTACACAGCAGGAGACCCTTATGTCCACCAAGCATTCCAACTGGAGCCCTCGGAAATAGCATCAACACCAACCTCTACGTTTACCACCCTGCCTATCCAGAATATGGCCCAATGCTGCAATTCAATGCCTCGGACCTTGGGGGTGTTAGTTATAATGTCGTTTATAACTCATGTACTGCCATCGCCGGGAACTGTTGGGATGATAACGGTTTTTGTGATGTCGAGATGCTGCCGGAAGATGGTATCGAAGATCCATCGTCAGCTAGTCCATCGTCAACAGATTCGTCATCTGGTATCAAGTCGACCCTAACGAACATTTTGCCAAGTAAAACAAATAAGGCGGAGAAGGAGGCGAAGAAGGAAGCGAAGAAGAAGGTCAAAGTGATAACGTCGACTCAATCACCAAAGTTTCCATTCCTGAGCTTAGTAAGCGACGAGGAAAAGAAGCCTATTCAAATCCCAACGAACGGAATTCTAAAGGCCGTAGCTTATTACTTCTTCGTGCCTGGTAAAGGTATGTCGCTAATTATTATTATCCCACCCCCTGATGCTAACAGCATGTTCCCATAGAGGAGTACGCCATTTACCCCAACATGTACCATTATCATTTCCCTAAGCAGTTACCACGCCCGTGGGCAGGCCTCGAAGACCATAGGTATTCGGAATATCCTCCGGGTGGCAGGAACAACTCAACCCGCCACCTCGAACCGTGTCGCCTTACCGGGGAGATTCATTCGTTGGAAATGGCGCATATAATCCCCAAAAATCATATAGAATGGGCAACGCAAGAGAAGATGATCCAATATGCTACCAACGTCAACCACTGCGGACTTGACTCGGGCCACTACAATAACACCTCCCCTATAGCAGCGCAAATCCATGGTCTGTTTGATGACGGCGTGCTGGTTCCGTTCCCTAAGAAGGTAAAAGGTCGGGAGCATTATGTACCGCACTGTCATGTGCTCAAATCTCATGGGAAGGGATTCGAATCCAATCTGGCTGTGGTAGCACAATACCATAATCGACCGTATGATCGTTTTTATGGCATTTCTCCTCATTTTCTCTACGCTCGCTTCATGTCGTCCCTCTTCCAATCACAAGTGTTCCCGATTTTACACGCGAACACTTACAGTTCCATCAACTTGCTCGTTCGTAAGAAAATACCGGATCCGAAGAACCATTACCGTTTTGACCCGGACGAATATGAAGAGAAAAGAATGAGGCCAGGACCTCACGAATGCGTTATGCCGCGAACGGGCGATAGTAAACTAGAAAACACTCCCAGGCAGATGATGAGGAGATCTAGGGACGAGGATGAGAAGGGCGAGAAAGGCAAGAAGAGACCATGGACCGACGAGGACCAATCCTCAGAGTGGGAAGACAGTTCCCTTGTCGATCCATGTGATGCGTTTGAGTACCAGGGTCGGAGTGAAGAGTTCGATCGTTTAACCGGGGATGAATTTTTCCTGGGCAGTGATAGATTTTAGAATATGGCCAACTTAAATACGCGTGACTTATCTCAGCTAGCTCAGACTAGGTTTCCTTTGTACCTTTGGTACCCTTTTATCCACAGCAGTTTTTAGCCAATCAAATCTCTCAGCGCGTAAACAGGAAATTTTTATTCGACACTGCGCCCAGCCCCACAAGTACATTCGCACGAATCTTTTTTCCTGTGGCGCTGTGGCGTTGAATAAAGTCGTAGTCTGAGCTCGCTGAGATAACGTTTCGTTGCGACATAATAACCCTCGGAGCTTGGGCATAACCTGCCTCTATTTCAACAACCATAATGCAATTTCCCTAATAGTATTGAACCCCTTCTCCCCATCTTTCGCAATGATTTCTCGATATCGTGCTCGTAGAGGCTCCCCTGAACCTCTCCAAAACACCTCCACATACTCGAAATCCTGTTCCTCGTCATTTAACATTAAACGTAAACTCGAATCTCCGTCCGAACATCAAAATCCACGCACGAAAAAGCCTCGATTTCGTCCTCGTGGCCGCAAATATTCCAAACCTCCCGAAGATTCTAAACCTCCTGAAGATTCTGAACCTCCTGAAGATTCTGATCCTCGCGAAGATCCCGAACATCGCAAAGACCCTCATGTAAAGTCGTGGGCAGCATCTATCTACAATCCTGGAAACCCATATGAACAACCGGACCTAGAATCTATCACTAGCTCAGCAAGACATTATCTCGAGATGCCTTCCGCTCCGTCTTTAAAACTAGCAGCCTCGGTCCGAACCACGCAATCTAGCGATATCACCAATGATAGCCAATACCGAACGGATGTCCTCAACCCAAAGGGAATCAATCTACTACCCTCTTCCAACTGGACAAATAGAAAGACCACTAATGCGCTCATTCCAAGTTGGGTCGAAAGTATTGTCGAACATATCATAGATCAAGACTACGTCGCAAGCGATCCAAGCGACTTGTCTACTTGCCCACCCGATCATATATTGTCTACCAAATGCATCAATTTGTATAATCGAATGCATAAACTTCAGACATTTTATATCGAAGAAATGGTCAAGACGAAGCTGTATTTATACATCGAGCCTCTGTCAGTCGAGCAAATGGGTATGGAACGGTTATATGAAACCAGATGTCAACCATTCACTTTGTCGTCGCTGATGAGGGTCTCGGGCACCACTGAGACGGCTGATACCCCCTTAACGATTCAATCTTGGCCTGCAAAGCCTGTACCTGATATCATCTACGGATATACGTGCGATTCATTCCCTGGTGTTAAGTCAACAGCGCCAATGGATGAGTTGAAAGCAACCTATTGTAATAAATCTGGGCTTATGTTTCCTTACCTTCCCGTGGAGTTCAAGCCAATGAGCGGCAACCTATGGCATGCCGCAAACCAATGTATGGGCGGTTCAGCAGCATCTCTGCGCCAAACCGAAAGTGTGCTCGGTCATGAACAAGTCATCTTCAGCGTAGGTATGACCGATGAGATCGCGGATATCTACGTTATGTGGTCAAGCCCAGAACCAGCCAATCCGATACATAAAGCCAATGTCGAACGGTATTACACCATGCAGAAAATCGCGTGTCTCGTCATATCCGAGATCGAACATTTCAAACGGTTTTGGAACATCCTAGCCAACATCCACAAATGGGCAGCGTCGTCTAGGTACGAAAAGGTAAAGGAAGATCTTTTCAAGCACTTTAAGCCCCCGAGAACACTTTTACCTACTCCAGCACTCGAGATGGTTAAAGCGATTTTTTAAGCCAATTAGCAAGTTTGGAGCTCGGGATGTGTGTTCCCGGCACGGGGACCTCCTGTCATGTTCAAAATCTTTTAAAAGTTCCCCATCCCGCGATTCAATGCACTATAATCTTGTCGAAACCCATATTCCAATAACGAAGCGAACTCATCCGCGGGCTGCGGCAAGCCATACAAGGTTCCATCCGCGCTAAATGTCGGTGCCGCAGATTGGACTGGTCCGGTGCCATTTTTTCCCGTATTTGTAAAGCCTTGCAAAAAGTTGAATGGTTGTGGAGGCAAAGGCATAGAAGCACTCAGGGAGAAGTTGCCCCCCTCTTGGACAGATGAATCAGTTTTCCATAATTCCTCCCACTGTTTGAACCGGGCATAGTCGGTCTCAGGAGTAGCCCCGGGCGAATCTTCGGTAGCGTCCAGTCTGGCTATGGCGCGCTCGAATGCCTCAATGAGCGATGCTTCTGCACGTGCAGATTTGCCTCCCGTCGCCATTTCTTTTATCATTCCCATGCCATAGCGCAAGGAGTTTCTCAGTCGATCGGTCTTCTTCTGCAGGCATTGGGTGATGATTACGAGGAGCGCGGCGCGACAGGCGCTAAACTCTGTATAGGATGCGCGTGCCAGCCCGACGGTGTTTCGAAGGAGATGACATGTGTCGATGATCGTCAGGGCAGCATCAACACAATCGGCGACGAGGATAGATCTTGGGTTAGATCGACCGGATGTGGATGAAGGATGTGCCGAATCCGCGGGCGAAGTAGAGACGTCAGCGTTATTTCTCGTTGACTCTTTTGGGAAGATGAAAGATCGACCGGCGAACATGCGAACGAGGCAGTACTCGAGTTTGAGGTGCATATTAGCACGGCAGACAGAGGAATGTATAGTGGCATCTTTTTGGCATACGTCGTCGGGAAGAGACTCCCACCACCTGAGAAATTTGGCTTTGATCTCTACTAGTTTTGCTAGTCCTTCCTGCATCTCGTTTTTTGCCTGCGCTCTGAGGATGAATCTAGGCCAAGTGATCAGCATACATGAACGCAAGGGTCAGATCCGCTAGGAGGTCCCCGTGCTTACATCTCGTGAGCTATTGTCCCCAAGATCTGGTTCAAGTATAAGGTCGCCATCATACGAGGGTAGTGTAGCGGTGGGTTCAGTGGCCACATATCTGGACAATCGACGGGCATTTCCGCGTCGACATCTGAACTCGAAATCGAGATTGGCCTGCCGTGAAATATGCCAACACGCCTAGCAATACTCGTCAGACAAATGATGTTAATGACCAAGGAGTTTTGATAGGGCCTTACTTCTCTATCGTATAAGCGGTCCACCACACGCGATTCCTGGTCTCGCGGGCAACCGGTTCCAACTTTTCTCCGGTGTACTTCCTATGCATTCCGTTCTGTATAGCCAACTTGACGGCTAAGTTTAGATATATGTATGACAACCCAGATGCATCAAGTGGCAAAGTGTATAAACCAATGAGGAGACATGCCTGGACGCTCTCTAGTGAAGCGATAGTGATGACATCAGGCACAAGCCGGCACGCTTGCTGGTAGAACATGATGCCAACAGAGTCCTCTGAGAAGGGGTTAGGTCTAGTAGAAGGATCATGAGAATCAGATAGACCGCTGCTGCGGTCGTGTTGAGAATCGAGGTACGCATACTGAGTGCCAATTGCCAGGATGATGAACAGCATGCATACGGTTCCGACATCGCGCCTAGAAAGTGATTGTGCGTTTTCGTACGCCATGTTGAGCTTGCCCATTAACCAACCCCGTTCGACGTAGAAGTAGTTCGTCTCGGCATGCTTGAAGAATGCCTCGACGAGGTAAGTGGCTATGTAGCGAGGTGGAAGTGAGGCCAGCGATGTGAGCGTATTGGAAGATGACTGCAATTCCTCAGGGCGATAATACTCCTTGATTCTTGGATCTTGTGTGACATTCTGTAGAGATAATTAACACCCGTGGATAGAAGGAATTGACGAAAGATCCATACGTACATTCCTATCAGGATCAGGTGCACATTGCTCTATCCATTGCTTGATTCGCATAGAAAAATTCCAATGCGAGAACTCCCCAGAGTAATCTACACCCAATATGTCAGAGGATCTATATTGGGACATAGTCGGGAGTTCTTAGTACTTCCTACTCACGAGTGATATTGTTTTCGAGCGGCTTGACGGTGAAACTTTCATCGTCTACTCCAAGACAGCTAGAGCTATGCGACTGTACATCAAGTAGCCTAGGCCTACTTTGTTGCTGGTCAACTGACTCCGCTAGGTTCCGAAGAGTCTCTGCATTTAGGTTACTATTACCAGTGTAATGAGACAAGATCTTCTCCATATAACCGAGTCGTTGCTCAAGTCCCATCGAGCCGTGGGGTTTGGAAGGTGGATCTCTATTCCGGACAGTCAGTGAGGGAAGCCGTCTATAGAGCCGGCGCTTTTTGAGATGTTCCAGGGATCCTACCTAGCTGTCAAGTCCGACCCGGCCTCGGTTCCTCTGATCGGCGGCCGGATAAATTCACATCGCTGGTGCAGCCGCATACATCTCCGGCACGGGACGCCTCCATCGCACTTTTCTTTCTGCTTTCTGCAATTATCGCAGCTTTTGGTGCAAATATCTCAGTAACGTAGGTAGTTTGAATCATTGGATAGTTTGTGTCTTACGCTCTAATGGCCCGCTTGCGGTCTCTTTCTGCCACCCGGCGTTGCTTTTGTCTCTGAATGTTCTCACTGTCCATCGAGGTTCAAAAGCCACCTGCCCGTAGTGTTCAATCACCGGGTTTCGCTCGGCCCTGTATATCAGGGTCTGTCCTGAAACAGCAGGGTCAGAATGCTTCCAAATACACGTCTACTTCTGTAGAGGTGAGTGTCACGGTGATGTAGGGTTGATAGTGCTCCTCGCGTCGCTAGTTGGACTGCTGAGTCCTTAATCATTTAAAAGGGTAGAAAGCTCCGAAAATGGAGTCCGGTAACTTTGGAACTTATGCCCGATGCCTACTAGTACCTAGGTTTGCTTTAGTACGCCACTGTCACGTGGAACTAGGTACTTATTATATATATTTAGTAGGTGCTTAAGCGGATTCGGATTCATTGATGAGGGGCTGGTTACGCTAATGGCGTATAAGAATTATTTTCTACGCTAATGATCGTAGCGATGAATGTTATCATATAGAAATATTTTAACAATAAAAGGACTAGGTAGTTATGTGCACCTTTAAAGCTTACTTCTAACTAGGATAAATACTAAACTCCAGGACTGTCATTTAGATACTTAGGTGGTTCGTAACGAGGTGTCTTGTTTTATTACTAGGGTTAAAGCAAAAATCGTAGAACGGTCCAAGGTCTTAGAAAGCTGTATTTATGCCCCGAACTGGAGTTCATATTAAATAAACCCCAATCGGAACCTCTGACACAAAGCATGATCAACTCTAGTTGGAAATGGCGGTAAAATAGTAAATCAAAGGACAACTCCAAGAAATAAGAGTACATATCCAATCCATGTACTGAATAAATGCGCCATTCATGATCGTTGAATTGAACACCATCATAACACCCGTTTCTCATGCCACCCCCTGGAGCCTACATCGTTTCCGTTGTCCTTCAAATTTCGCCAGCCTGTGGTTCCCTGCCTTCGAGGACTGCTTGATCGCGCGCCAATATTTCCAGCTCCGCCCTCGTCCGTCCCTCCTTCGGTAAGTAATTGAATATTATAGGAATGCAGATCGCCAGAAGCGTGCCGAAACCGGTGAAAGCACCTGTGGTGGCAAACCCCTTGACAAATTGAGGCCCGTCGCTGGTGGGCCAGAGCCGGCTGCCATATACGGCGGACAGGTTGCCTACAGAGTTCGTCAGGGCCACGACGACGGCGCGCTTCTCCGCCGGCAGAGCTATCACCTCCGAAGCCCAGTTGAGGATCAGTGGCAAAGCCGTGTAAAGACCAGCTATATAGAAGCACAGCATGACGTACTGGACAATCGCATTCGATACGGTGACGCAGACGATCGTACAGATGAAGCTGAGGCCAAGACACCCTGCGATGTGCCACCGTCGATCTCTCGTCTTATCGGCCGTCCACGAAATGACGACGAGGAATACGGCGCCGACCATCCAGATGGGAATCGTCATGTACTGTGCGGTGACTGAAGCGTATCCCATGGCGGTGACGATGGTAGGGATAAAATAGGAAATCGTGCAGGAGCCGAGATCCATAACGAACAGGACGACGAAGAAGTAAGTCCGTGGGTCAGCCAGGGCTGCCTTCACGGCCTGCCAGTGTGTGAGCTTCATGCCGTGTCGGGCCGCGCTTGTATTGCGATCGTGGATCATGCGGACGACAGCCAACTGGCGCTCTTCCAAACTAAATCTCTTCGTCGTCTCGGGGAAGTCGAGCAGGATGAACTTCATGAAGAAGGCGAAAAATATGGTACAACAGCCTTCGATGAGGTAAAGCCACCTCCATCCACGGATCCCAGCTACACCTTCCATGTGTCCCGTGATTGCGCCGGCTAAGAGCCCGCTCACGGCGCCGGAGCAGACAGAAGCTGTGAAGAAGATCGAGAATCTCTTTCCTAAAGGATATCAATACCCTATGATGCAGCTAAAACAGGGAGGACTGAGAAGAGTTACTTACCGACTTCACGCTTCTTATACCAACATGTCATCACGTACAAGACGCCGGGAAACATCCCAGCTTCGATGCAGCCGAGAAAAAAACGAATGGCCAGGCCACCTTGATAGTTCTTCACTACCGACATGAGAGCACAGAGCGTGCCCCAGAGCACCATGATGATCGGGAGATACCAGGAAGGGCGTGATCGCGTGAGGATCAAGTTTGAAGGAACCTCACAAACCAAATATCCGATAAAGAAGATGGAAACCAACATAGCATACTCTAGTACCGTGTCAGCCTTGCCAAATAACACACCAACAGATTTTGTATAAACATACGTGAATCGTTGATACCGAGGTCATGATTCATGCCTGCAACTTTGGCATTGCCCTATTGATACGGTATTAGTTTCATTTTCTCGAGCTTTATCTTATCATGGCCCCGGTGAACTCAGAACTCACAATATTTTGTCGGTCGATGTAGGCCAGAATGTACATGAACCAGAGGGCTGGCATCATGTACCAATCCAACTTGCGAACCAGTCGCTTTTCCGCCTCCGTGTCTGGCACATAGTTTTGCAGTGCCCGCTCGAGCTCTAGTTGTTCTTCGGACAGAACGACCTTCGTGTAGTTGTTTGTACAAACGACAGCCAGCGAAACAGGCTCATCTTTCTTGATGTCCGACATGTCGGGAATGTCAACAGATATTTCTAGATAGGGCTGCGGATCGGTCACGGATCAGCGTGATTGTTGCGACAGGCGTGGCGTGAATGAGCACCCCTCGCAGGTGCTGTCTTCTCTTTATACCAGGAACGACGTTATCTTTGCTGCTCTATCATGAAATATAGCGCTGTGTACAGGCGCAGATATCTGATAATCTGCCTAGTAGATATCCCTGAATTATCTGCCAAACGACATCAAGACCCTCGTGTCTATCAACTTGCCAATCGGTATCTGCCTAGATTACGACCGGGGCGAATTGCAGACCCCCGCATCACATACAACGGCCACCCAAGACATTATTCGGAGGTGTTCGTCACTATCGAGGGCCCTGCGCTGATAAGGTAGGTCTCCAACGGCTCTCGATACCAACTGTACTTAGTACAATAATTAGTAACCCTCTCCACCTGGGGAAGGCATTGGTTTCGAGATAGTCGAAGATAGGACTGTCAGGGAAGCAAGGTGACTCGGTATAACTACTAACGCGAAACGGTTAGGTGTGGTGGACCGGATATGTACATGAGTGGGACCGGCAATGTGAGCTCCAGATAGCGGCTCGAGAAACATGGTCTAAGATAGCTGACCGGACCGGCTTTCTACCATGGACCGGTAGACCGGCAAGGTGCAAGTGTCGCTCCTGAATGTACCCGAGCTCCTTGAAGTGATCTCAGCAGCTCAGCTCTCTCTTGGCATAGCCCAGCTAGAACTGAGCGTCGATGGATGAAATCTTGGTGAGTACACAATCCGAACTTCGGCATCGTGTAGCCTCGCCCGGCTGTGCGACAGTGCATAGTATAGATGGAACTATGGCTATCCATCTCTTTGCTGTCTAGGTAGGTATATACGCTCTGCGAATACTGATAACTTGTGTGATTCACATTCTCGAAAATAAGCTATATCAAGAATGGCAGTACCGCACTCGTCCTCCTTAGAAATATTTTCGTACTGTCAATCAGTATTCTATGCCAATCATGTCTAATTATACCAAGACCTATCGTATTGCAGCAATCCCCGGTGATGGGATTGGTATAGAAGTAGTTGAAGTCGCTCTTGAGGTTCTTCAAACAGTCGCCGAGGTCACTGGAGGCTTCATAATCAAGGTTGCTGAGCTTCCCTGGGGAAGCGCATTCTACAAGAAGAGCGGCTATTACCTTCCACCGAATTTTTTAGATACCTTGAAGGGATATGATGCCATTCTCTTCGGCGCAGTCGGCGCACCTGGTATGTGCGCAAAGAGCCTCGTTCGTGTTTATTCGTGTACTTACAATGTTCATCAGACATCCCCGACCATGAGTCCCTCTGGGGTCTCCTCCTGAAGATGAGAGGGCCCATGCAGCTATATGCTAATATGAGACCGATCCGGTGCTTCACTAAGCCTCGTCTCGAAGGAGCAGATCCTGCACATTTGAATTGGCTCCTGGTACGCGAGAATAGCGAGGGCGAGTATTCCGGACATGGTGGTCGCTCGCATGGCGGGAGAGAGTGGGAAGTCGCGACGGAGACCAGCATCTACACACGCCATGGGGTCTGCCGCATCATGCGACACGCGTTCGAGGCGGCGAGCAGGCGGCCGCGCAAGCACCTGACCGTTGTGAGCAAGTCGAACGCCCTGCGCCACGGGTTGGTGCTCTGGGACGAGATCGCGGCGGAAGTGGCTGCTGAATTCCCCGATGTGAGCTGGGACAAGGAGCTGGTAGATGCCATGACCATCCGCATGGTCCAGAAGCCGTGGACGATCGATACCGTGGTGGGCACAAACCTGCATATTGATATATTGTCAGACTTGGCCGCAGCGCTGGCGGGATCCATCGGTATCGCCGCTTCGGCGAACCTGGACCCTACGAGGACCAATCCATCGATGTTTGAGCCAGTGCATGGCAGTGCGTTCGACATCATGGGCAAGGGCATCGCCAACCCAATCGGCGCCATTTGGGCGGCCGCTGACATGATCGCATGGCTTGGGGAGCAGTCGGCAGCCGATAGCATCATGGATGCGATTGCGAGTGTGTGCAAGGATGGCAAAGTGACCGCTGATATGGGAGGTACACTGAATACGAAGCAAACGGCAGAGGCTATCTGCCTGGCGATCAAGTCTCGCCATACATGATAGTTGCTGAACCATTGATTCTGTCTATGTAGTGGATATAGTTGTACATAGTTATTAATGCTGAACGAATAGGCCAATTGAAACGGTGATGAATAGTTGATTGATTGATGTTTTTCCTCGGTGAGAGCTAAGCACGAAGGTCGCGACTGGAGGTTGAGAACATCAATAATAAAGCCGTGTGAATCTCAGAAACTCTGTACCGCGTGGTGTTTTCTTTAGGTATAATACGTCGGTAGCTAAGCTGCCTAAGCTATCACCACCTGGGTAGTCATCCACTATAAATATTAAATACCTAGGGAGCGACTAGAGCAGATCACTATTAGGCTCAGCATTAATACAGTATTCATACACTGTATTGGGTACTGATGTAAGAAAGGTGGGGCGACCACATGACAAACTCCACCCCACACAGACAATGATTAGGTCTCAGATGCTCGCGTCAAAATCATTACCCAGCACGCTATATATCTCTCTAGATTACAATCTATGCATCGATGCCAATCATGATCGTCTTTATAATGGTAAATTCATCAATACCATATTTGCTGCCCTCCCTCCCAAACCCGCTCTGTTTTACTCCGCCAAACGGAGCAGCTGGGTCGCTGATAGCCCCTGTGATGTATCTGTTAGCACGACTTGAAACACAGATAGGAAATGCCACTCACCAATATTTACACCGACCATGCCGACTCCCAAAGCCTCGGCCATTCGCCAGCAGCGGCTCGCATCCTTGGTGAAGAAGTATCCTGCAAGCCCGACGTCGGAATCGTTTGCCAGCGTGATAGCTTCCTCTTCGGAATCGAACTTGAAGAACGCGGCAACAGGGCCAAATGTTTCTTCCCAGCACAGCTTCATGCCAGGTTTCATGTCGGCAAGGACTGTGATGCCGAAGAAATTAGGCCCCAGATCCTTCAGAGGCTTGCCGCCAAGCAGAACCCGGGCGCCCTTCGACACGGCGTCCTGCACGTGGTCCGCGACTTTTTGGACTGCGCGGCCATGAATCAGGGGACCGTGGGTTGTGTTCGATGCGAAGCCGTCGCCGACGACAAACTCATTCACAGCATCTACCACCATCTTCGTGAACTTTTCATACACAGCTGAATGCACCAAGATGCGATTGGCACAGACGCATGTCTGTCCTGAGATGCGGAACTTGGATGCGATGAGGCCACGAACGGCAGCGTCGAGATTCGCATCTTCAAAGACGACGAATGGGGCGTTGCCGCCCAGCTCGAAAGAGAGCTTTTTCAGAGTGGACGAGCACTGGCTCATCAGCAGTTTTCCGACGCCAGTCGAGCCCGTGAAGGAGACCTTCTTAATAGTTGGGTTCGTGGTCAACACCTGGCCTACTTCGACCGTGTTGCCCAGAGCGGTAATGACGTTAACAACACCGGGCGGTATTCCAGCTCTGTGGGCAAGCTCGGCCAGGGCAAGAGCGGTCAAGGGGGCTTCAGCAGGTGCTTTGATGACCACTGTGCAGCCGGCCGCGAGGGCTGGACCAGCCTTACGAGTGATCATGGCGGCCGGGAAGTTCCAGGGTGCAATAAGGCCACAGACACCTACGGGTTCTTTAACCGTGACCAGCCGACAAGCCGGATTGCTTGCCTGGATTGTGTCGCCGTAAATCCGCGGAGCTTCCTCCGAGAACCACTCAAAGAACGATGCTGCATAGTTGACTTCGGTTCTGGAGTCGGCCAGAGGCTTGCCGTTCTCAGCCGTGATAATTGTCGCTAAATCCTCGCTCTTTTCGATCATAAGATCGTACCATTTTCGCAACAAACGAGCCCTCTGACGCGCCGGGGTTTTCCTGTACGATTTGAAGGCAGTATGAGCAGCCTCGATGGCTAACTCAGTGTCTCTTCCATCAAACTCAGGACACGTTGCCACTTCAGCCAGCGTAGAGGGATCTACAAGTGAGTATTAGTTGATTGTGCCAGGCTCAGAGGGACCAGGTTGACTTGCTGTCTACAGAGAATAGTTTCCCTGACTGCGCGGCCACCCAGTTTCCATTGACATAACACAATGTTTTCAGCAGCGAAGGATCGTTCAGCTATGATGCTAGTTAATAATAGATCCAAAGTAATCAATGCCCGCGTAAGTAAAAGTTACCTGCAAGGTTGGCGCCATTGGAAAAGATGAAGGCGAAGATGTCTAGATACGCTCTATATTCGAGGGTTAACTGAAGCCAACTGCTGGACCTGTTGCCCTCTCTGCACACATCGACGTGACAAATCTATGATATACAGAAGCCGTCCGAAAGACATCTTCATGCTTTTCGTTAGAGTGCAATATCTACTCATCCCTGGTCATTTCCGGTCATTGCTAGAGGATATCCACCAATTTTGCCGGACCGGCGTGCGAGTTGCACGCACATTTCAGTAGTTCAATTTCAACCCCATGCCAATATCTGCTAATTCTTTTAAAAACACGTGGATTAGCAAATGTGCTAAGCTATGAAGCTGCGAGTCGAGAACAAACGACGCCGGCTTCGCGACCGGGCTGATGATCCGGTTGTGTGGACCCAAAAGCCTTACTCAATCGGGAAGTTCCACGCGGACGAAAGGGGTTTCTTCTTGAGGCTCTGTTAAAAGGCGAAAATTCTTACCGTAGCAGATTCTTTCATAGGAATGATATACCAAGCATCTACAACCCAGAAACAGTACCTAGCTAATCTTCATACTTACCGAATATTTGACCAATATGCCTGGTGTTCTCGACAATACGGTCTCGACCGAGGTCCCTGGACCTCTGTCCCGGGCCAGCGCAAAGAAGCTAGACACCTTCTTCGACGCGCGTGCCGTCCATTTCGTGGTGGATTATGACAAGAGCGAGGGCACATAGTATGTAGGCTGCAGGATCACTATGGCAAATCAGACTAACAGTTCTTGCGCAGCATTGTGGATGTCGATGGGAACCGTTACCTTGACGTGTATTCGCAAATTGCATCTATTCCTATCGGGTATAACAACCCCGCTAGCATTGCTGCTGCCCAGTCTCCGGAGATGCTGTCAGCTCTTGTGAACCGTCCCGCGATTGGAAACTTCCCTTCGCGTGTATGGGGAGAGATCCTCGAGGGTGGGCTGCTTAAAATTGCGCCGAAGGGTCTAGACCAGATTTTCACTGCTCAGTCCGGCTCCGAAGCCAATGAGCTTGCCTATAAGGCCTCCTTCATGCTTTACAGGCGTAAGGAGCGCGGGGATGGCGTAGAGTGGACTAGCGAGGAGATCACATCCTGCCTTGACAACGCTAAGCCCGGCTCACCTGAGCTTGCTGTTATGAGTTTCAGAAACTCGTTCCATGGACGTGGCTTTGGCAGTCTATCGACTACGCGATCAAAGCCTGTGCATAAACTTGATATTCCTTCTTTCAACTGGCCTCAAGCGTCCTTCCCAGCCCTGAAGTACCCTCTAGAGAAGTACGAAGCCGAGAACAATGCCGAGGAAAAGCGATGCTTGCAGGAAGTCGAGGATCTAATCAGGTCTTGGTATGTCTTTGCTTAAAGATGCTAATTGAATAAGTACTGATTTGTATTAGGCACTGCCCTGTAGCGGCACTCATTGTTGAGCCCATTCAGAGTGAAGGTGGCGATAACCACGCCTCTCCGGCATTCTTTCAGGGCCTGCGGGATATTACCAAGAAACACGGTGTCGTTATGATCGTGGACGAGGTTCAAACAGGTAAGACCCTCAGTATATTTCGGCTTACTACGTGAATACCAACACGCTTTAGGATTTGGAGCTACTGGCAAGTTTTGGGCTCATGAGCATTGGAATCTTGCATCGCCCCCTGATATCGTCACTTTCTCCAAGAAAGCCCAAACTGCTGGCTACTTTTTCGGAGATCGCGCGTTGATTCCCGACAAAGCTTACAGACAGTTTAATACGTAAGCCATATCAGTTGCCTAGCTTGTCCCTAAAAGATTCTGACAATCGATAGGTGGATGGGAGATGCGGCTCGTGTCATTATGAGCAAGACAATCATCCAAGAAATCCTCGATAAGGACCTTGTCGGACAATGTGTAAGTGACGTTAGCTTAACGCAAGCCTGAAATCTTTGCTGACAGACACAAGGCTCGTGTAGGGGAAGCGCTGTACGCTGAGATGGAGAAGCTCGCTCAGAAATATCCTGGTTACGTGCAGAACCTGCGCGGAAAAGGCAAGGGGTAAGACCAAAAATTGGATTCTATTTCGTTGGTAAATCTTGTTAACACATAGAAAGTACCTATATCGCCTTTGATACTAAGGACGCCGGTTCTCTCGTGAAGGCTATGAAGAAACTTGGAGTTCTGGTAGGTACCTGTGGAAAGGAAACGGTTAGATTACGGCCCATGCTTATCTTCGAAGAAAAGCACAGTAAGTTAAACCTGTCATGTTTTAACAGTCAATCTTGCTGATCCTTACAACAGTTCCAACTTTGGTCGCCGCTTTTGATCAAGCACTTGGGGAATTGTAAATAAATTTAACAGGGATCGTGTGTTTTTAAAGTCTCATAAGCGTTCCTCCACGGCGTTTGTTTATTTAAAGAAAATTACCTATCCTTACTTCATACAAATATGAGTAAGCTAAAATTAGAACGAAGACCTTTTCATGATTGAAAATCGTTAAGTTTAATTATGTGAAATATTCATACTTACAAAACGATTAAAACTTTTCAGGTCCACGCGCTTCTCTCAAGAGAAATTACGTAAGCAACCAACCTTGCCCACTCTAGGAATCTCCAGCCTAAGTAAAACCTAATCTCCTTAATGCGATAACCACCTTAAGATTAAGAGAAATCTTATTAAACACGCTTAATAAAAGGAAATCTTACTATTACTTATTACTTGATTTAAGGATGGAAAATGGTGTCTACGAGTTAAATATTTAGGTAAGCATACATGTATTCAGGGTTCCTTTTCGCGATGCTAAATTAAAAGCAGTACCTCACTTATGAAGTACCCAGTATAAATAACAAGCCACTTTACGAGAGCGACCGGACATCCGACGAGCGTGTTAGATTAAATATTTCTTGGCTTGTGTACTATGACACAACGATCAAAAATAACTACGTAATGATCACTACCAAGATACTTATCGCTTCTGACCTTACGCGAAAGCTTTAACTCATGCTACTCTACATACCTAGGTACATAGTAGTAGGTACTAAGTACCTACCTATGCATTCGTATCTGACATGGGTTTGGGTATCTGTCCCTACCCGGCCGGGTCCCTGACATAGAGTCGCTATCTTGCGGGGAAATTATTGGGACCGGAAGCCGATGCCAGATTCCATGTATCGGAGATTATAACGATCGTATTCAAACCGACACCTTTTTCATTACTATGGGAGCTCATAGTGTGCTGAGATCGCAATTCATACCAGGAACCTCAAAACTGATGTTATACGAATTCGGCTGGCATTCAGGCACCCATCAAGTTCCCCGTACGCCCACCTCTTCATTCCTATCCTATCCTAATGGCTTCGAGTAGAAAACATGTTGTATTTGACGTCGTAGGAACTTGCGTGTCCTACGATACCATATTTGATGCGCTTGATACGAGGCTTGGTGACCGACTACGAGCCGAATGCATTAAGCCTAAACTTCTGGGATACACGTGGTTCGAGGCTGCCGAGAGGGAGTACACATATCTAAGCATCTCGGGGAGGTACAAGCGTTTCTATGACGTGTTTAGCAGCTTATTCTACCGCATGCTTTGGATGGCCGGCATCGAGGAGCCGCGCAGGTTCGCGACCGACGAGGATCTGAACTACATTCTCGAACAATTCATGAAGCTCGACGCTCGGCCTGGCGTCGCCGAGTGCTTCCAAATCCTACGCGACGCGGGCTTTACCTGCTGGGCGTTTACCGCAGGCGACACGAAGCGTGTTAGTGGATATTTTACACGCAACGGCATCGATATGCCCGCTGAGAATTTCTTGTCGTGCGATAGTCTTGGTATCGGAAAGCCGGCGCCGGAGTCTTATCAACCTCTCCTCAAACAGTTTGGGGCTGACGAGTCATGGTTTGCCGCAGCGCACATGTGGGATGTGTCGGCAGCAAAGAGCACCGGGTATGCTGAGCAATTGAATCATCATGAGATACCACTTATAATGATGCTAACGAGAAATGACAGGTTTAAAGGTGCTTACTGTACAGTTTGGGAGAAGGAGCCGTGCACTGATCTGTTTGGTGAGATGGATGTGATGGCGGATAGCTTCCCCGACATGGCTCGCAAGATAATTCATGCCTCCGAGGTTGGATCGTAGTCAGTATACTAGGTAATAGCAATGTATAACCATGAGCTCTTTGTCAGCAACTATGAGGCTCCTTTAAATTTATTCTACAAACACACTACCTCACTACTCCAGGGCTGTAGTGATCTACTCATTATAATCCTAGTAGATAGCCTCTATATTTTAGTGGGTAACTTGGATGGCTTAGGTACCTAGAATAGCTACTGATAGAAAACGGTTCGCGGTGAAAAAGTCTTTCGTTTCTCACCCGAACCTTCGTGTTTATGTCCTTACCTAGGCTACCTAGGTACACATCTAGGACTAGGTACAATACCTACTTGACTTAACAGGTACTACCTACTAGGTAGGTAGTAAGTAGGTCCCATACCTTAGGCAGGTACATACCTACCGGTAGAAATGTACAGAGTATAAGCGATATAATTAACCTTGGTGGGTATCGGGCATAGCCGATCGCAAACCAAATCGGCAATCTGCCGGTCCAAGTCCGGAGCCATTAATGGAAATGCTAGTCAGAATTGCCTAGGCGTTCAACCGGCACTGGTTATCTGCGTGGGGCCTGTCAGGGGCTCTTTTAGTGGTAACGGTCGGACCGGTTCGTGATTCCTATCTCACCCCTCTATCGACTGGAATGGTGCACTCGTATGTAGTTGTCGCGATATGCGTGGTATTAACTAGATACTGCTTCGAGAAACGTGGCTAATTGATTCACTGCAATATTTAATATATCGAAAAACACAATTAGGTAGAGGGCAAATTATGAGGCACAAAACTTGGGTATTAAACAATCCCTAAATAACCATTCACCAAAACTTTTCCACTTAAGCTGTTACTCGTTAACCGAAGCTCACTATTAACCATATGTGCATATACGCCGACTTCCTACAAACTTGATCAAATGGCTACGAAAGTGCAGACAAAGAATCGCTCCCCAGTGGCTAATCCAGTAACATCTTTCTGGACAGTACCGCCATGCGACCTTGATGACCATCGCAGCACGCGGGATCTCCCTAGTGTAAGCGACGTGGTGATTATCGGGGCTGGATTTGCAGGGGTCGCCATAGCATACCATTTACTCAAAGACAACCCAAACCCGCCATCTATTACCATGCTAGAAGCCAGGAAGGTCTGCTCCGGGGCGTCGGGTCGAAACGGTGGTCATGTGAAGCCTGACACATATTTCAACGTGCCGAAGTACACCAGGCTATATGGTGAGAAGGCGGCAGCAGAGCTGGCCGCTTTTGAAGCCTCGCATCCATACGCAGTGAAAGCCCTCGTAGAGAGCGAAGGATTGGATTGTGATTTTCACCTCACGCGCGCTGTGGATGTGTTCCTGGACCCCGAGCACGCGAGAGTCACCGAGGAAGCCTATAGAAAACTTGTGAAAGACGGTGTGGTGGATCTTAAGGATGTAGCCTTCACCCCTCAGAAAGACGCCGAAAGGGTAAGCGCAACATTCAGAGATCCCGGCCGAGCTTTATGCGTTAACTTCTCAGGCCATCACGATTTGAAAGCACATACTTATACTTTGAAATAGGTATCGGGGATTAAGGGGGCCCAATGCTGCTTCTCCTTTACAGCAGCGCATCTTTGGCCTCTGAAGATGGTCCAGCAATTAGTTCAGGGACTACTCGAGAAAGGTGTAAATTTGCAGGCCAACACACCTGTGAAGTCGGTGTCATCGACCAAAAACGCCCGAGGACTTTGGACCGTCGATACAGAGCGTGGATCGATTGCTGCTCGAAAAGTAGTATACGCCACAAATGGCTACACGGCACAGGTTTTGCCCGAATACACGGATCGCATCGTCCCCGTTCGCGGTATCTGCAGTCGTATCGTCACCCCCCAAGGTCCGAACAGTCCGCATTTGGTAAACACTTACGGGATTCGATTTGACTCAAGTAATAACGATTACCTTATTCCACGCGCGGACGGGAGCATCATTGTCGGTGGCGCTAGGCAGAGGTTTTGGCACATGAGAGAACAGTGGTTTGACAATGTTCGAGATGATGAACTTGTTGCTGACGCAGTTTCGTACTTTGACGGCTACATGCAACGTCATTTCCGGGGATGGGAGGCTAGCGGCGCCAAGACAGATCATGTCTGGACTGGAAGTAAGTCGAGCCCGACTCATACTCGGTTAGAGGCAATGCTGACTATATCATCAGTTATGGGCTACAGCTCGGACTTTCTGCCCCATTTAGGCGAAGTTCCTAAGAAGCCCGGCCAGTATATCATCGCTGGGTTCTCGGGCCACGGCATGCCAGAGATCTTGCTTTCAAGCAAGGGTGTAGCCGCTATGGTGCGAGATGGGATATCCTTTGAGGAGTCAGGACTACCCAGCATATTCAAGACATCGACGGAGCGAATCACAAATCCCAAAAGTCCTTTAGAGGAATCGCTACAACCATTATGGAACATCAATAACAAAGCAAAGCTCTAGCTGAAAGCTAATTGCGATATTAGCAACAACGCACCTAATGATATGAAAGCAATGAATATGTGCTCCAGAATTCTGTATTCTTTGGGAAAATAAGCTTTATAACTTTAAACTGAAGAAATTCGACTATAGTTACAAGATGATAAAAAAGTGCATTGTTCGTAACGTTTCTTATTAACATTAATTACTTACTTACTTAATATTATTTTCGTTAATGCCCGAGCTCCGAGGGTTATTGTGTCGCAACGAAACGTAGGGAAAAATTAACACTTGTCGGAATTTCCGGAGTTCTTAATCGGGCTAATCTTCAAATCTTATTAATTTATGAAAAAGCATATAATTTATATAATATAATTATATTTTAAAAATGTAGTAAATTTTATTTATTTAAAATATATAAGTTTAATATTATATATATAAAAAATGGTGAAATTATTAAATTATAAATATTAAAAATATCGAAATTACGTAATTTTTTAATTTATATATTATTACGTTAATTCATTAAACCGAATATTCGAACTTACCGAAAAAGGTCGATTTTTTAAAAATATTTAATTTTAATTTTAATAAATTTAAGAAAATTTTAAATTATATAAAATAGTTTTTTTTAATTTTATAATTTTATTAATTTAAAAATTATTTAAATTTAAAACTCGATTATATAATAATATATTAATTATTTTTCGATTTAATTATACGATTTTAAAATGCGAAAAAATTCGAACTTAAACTTAAAAAAAGTAATTAATACGTCGAAAAAATTACATAATTAAATTAAAAAAAATTAATATATTAAAAAATACATTTAATTAAATTAATAAATAAATTTAAAATTTAACGATTATTTCGAAATAATTTATATAATTAATTAAATAAATAATTTAATAATTAATTTAATAATAAATTTAATAATTAATTTTTAAATTAATTTAATAATTAATTTAATAATTAATTAAATAATTAATTAAATAATTAATTAATAAAAAAATTAAATCGAAAAATAAATAATTAAATATAAAAAAAATGCATTTAATTATTATAACGGGAATTCCCGTATCGCGAGAATAATTTTAAACCTTATAAAAACATTATATATATAAAATCGATAAAAATTAAAAGAAACCATTTTTAATTTAAAAATCGTTACATTTTTATAAATCATTTTTTAACTTAAAATAATTTCTTTTAATTTTTATTAATTTTATGCATGTAATATTTTTATAAAGTTTAAAATTATTTTTTAATTTAAAATAATTTCTTTTAATTTTTATTAATTTTATATATATAATGTTTTTATAAAGTTTAAAATTATTTTTTAACTTAAAATAATTTCTTTTAATTTTTATCGATTTTATGTATATAATTATTTTATAATGTTTAAAATTATTTTTTAATTTAAAATGATTTTTTTTAATTTTTATTAATTTTATACGTGTAATATTTTTACGAGGTTTAAAATTATTCTTTAAATTAAAATAATTTCCTTTAATTTTTATCGATTTTATACGTGTAATTATTTTTTATGTTATAAAATTATTATTAATAATATGAAATTATTTTTTATTTTATAAAAATAGTTTTTACATTATAAAATAAATATAAAATAAAATCATTTTTAAGTAAATAAAATTATTTTTTAAGAAATAAAATTATTTTTAAATAAATTAAATATTCTTTAAAAATAAAATTATTTTTTAATAAATAAAATATTTTTAAAAAAATAAAATCATTTTTATATAAATAAATTATTTTCGGGAAAATAAAACCATTCCTTTATAAACTTTATTAAATATTTTTTAAAAAATAAAATCATTTTTTCGCGATTAAAATATTTTTTAAAAAATAAAATCATTTTTTTATAAATGAATTATTTTTCGAGGGATAAAATCATTTTTAAATACTTAAATAAATAAGTAAGTAAATTCATTTCGTTAAACTTAAAATTAATTTTAATTTTATTATTCGATTAAAAACCTTGGAATTATTTTAACTTAAATATTTATTAATATTAAATTAAAAGTATTTTTATAATAAATATTTATTTCTTAAGTAAATATTTAAATAAATACTTATTAAAAAAGATTTTAAGGATATTAATAACGTTTTAAAAAACGTTAAAACCGATCGGTAAATGCCGTGAATAAATACTTACTTAAGTAAATACGTATTTTAAATATTTAATTTTTTTAAATTTAAAGTTCGTTTCGACGTACTTTTAATATTTATATATAAACCGTTATAAAGTATTTAAAATCGAAGTTTTAATTAAATTTTATAAACTATTAATTAAAATTATATACCCCACGATATTATAATATTAAATTATAATTTACTTTAATTTTAAATTAAATTTAAACCTTAAATTATAATAATACGTTAATTATATTCGTTATTCGAACGTTAAAAATATTATATATAAACTTAATAATTTTTAAAATTTAAAAAAAACTTTAAAAAATATAAATTATAATAAATTAATATTATAATATATTAAATATAATAAATAAAGCCGTATTTTTAAATATTTATTTAAAATAATAACTTAATTTTTTTAATAATAATATTAAATATTTATTTAAATATGAATTATATTAATAAAAATATTTTAAGTAAATAAATAAATAAATAACATTAAATAATATTTAATATTAAATGTTATTTATTTATTATAAAATTTAAAAAGCATTTACATTTTAAATAAATAAATAAATAAATGTTTAAATGTTTAAATGTAAAAAATATTCGGGATATACGACTTTAAACCGGTAAATAAATAAATATTTACTTAAATACTTAATAAATACCATAAATAATAAAACGCTTACTTAAAAATTTATTTACTTCGTTCGGCACTTATAATTATTTTATCGTTTAATTTATTAATACGGTTTTAACGTGTTTTATAACGATTATATATAACTTTAATAACGTGATAATTATAATTTCGATAATATTTAATTTTTTATTAAACTTTTTTAAAATTTTTAATATTATTTAATAATCCCGTGAACCGGTTTATTATAAAAAGGTAATAATGGCGAATATATATTATTTTTTATATATATTAAATACGAAAATATAATCGATACGCGTAAATTTATCGTCGTAACGTTAAATATAATTATTTTAACTAAAAACGAACTAAATATTAATTTTTTTAATATTTAATACGTTTAATTTTAAAATTAACATTATTTTAAATTAATATTAAATTATAAACATTTAAATACGTACGAATTTTTAAACGTAAATTTATAAAATTATTAAAATATTTTTTTATATTTTTAAGTTATAAAATAATAATCCGGGAACTTGTAATTTTATAAATATACATATTATAAATTAATAACGAAATTAATCGGGAAATTTTATATAATTAAAAAGGATTTTTTACTTTTTAAATAAATTAAATGTTTTTATCGTTATATTTTTTTATTAAAAATATAATTAATAATAAACGTATTAATTTACGTTTTATTAATAAATATATCGATTTTTAATTTTAAATTAACCGATTTTACTTTTATATTTATTAAATTATTTTAATTAAATCGTGAAAGTATTTTTTTAAATAAATTAAAATAAAGTTTATGTAACTTTTATAAGTTTTTTATAAGCTCCGGGTCGTTATAAAAAAAAACACCTCGAATGGCGAAATAAATTATAAATTAAATATTATATTTTTTTAAAAAAATATATTCGACGTTATAAAAATTCGTTTTTAAAACTTTACGTTTAAAATACTTATTTTATATTAACATATTTATTAAATAATTATTTATTTATTTAATTTTAATATTATTTAAATAAATATTAAACGGATAAATATATACCGGTGTAAATTTTCGTTAATTAACGTATTATAATTTATTATTAAAATATATTTTTTTATAAATATAAAATAATAAATAACGGTATAAATATTTAACCGTAACGTATCGTTTATATATTTAATTAACGTAACGGTAAGTTCGTTCGAAAAGTTAATAATAAAAACATTCGTTATAATAAGTCGATTTAATATAAGTATTTATTTACGAAATTTTCCGCGAAGTTTTCCGTAAAGTTTTAATGCCGTTTTTATCGTTTAAATTTAAACTTATACCTTCGTTTTTTCTTAAAATATCGCCGAATTAACCGCGATTATACATAATTAATTAAATAGTTTTTTTTCTTTATAAATTATTAATTTAAGGTTAATTTAATTAATTTTTACCGCATTATTTTTTATTAAAATTATATTATTCTTTACGATAATTATACATGCCGAAATAATAAAAATTATTAAATTATTAAATTTTTTAACTTTATTAAAAAAACGTTTTTTAATATAATAAAATTTTAATTAATTTCGGAAAAACGCCGGAATAATAATCGATTAAAAAGCGTAAAACGATATATTATAATTAATTAAATAATATTTTAAAAATTATAATTAACGTAAATTAAATAAAAATAATTATACGCATAATTTTCGCGTATATAAAATTAATATATTAAGTTTTAATATCGCATTACATAATAATAAATACATTAAATTTAATAATTCATTATATTTCGAATATATTAAGTTAAATAAACACGTAAATATTAAGTTTAAATAAAACGAAATAAATTAAAACATCGGAAATAAGTTAATTATACTTTATTACACGTTATATATAACTTTTATATTTAATTTTATATATTTATTAATTATTATTTTTTACATTTATTTTACTTAATAATAAAATTAATTATATTTAATAATATTAAAATTAAGTATAAATACGGGATTTTCGATATTTCGACCGGATATAACATAATAATAACGATAAAATTTTTACGCTCGTAATTTTTTAAAATTATAATTTTTTATTTATTACGAAATATTTCTTATAAAATAAATCGTAAATTCGTATATTAAAATATTTTTACCATTAATATTTATTTTAATAATTTTATTAAAATTAATAAACGTATTAAACGTTTTTATAATATTATTAAAATTAAACTTATAT